GTTTATTTTAATAAATGTTGATTATTTTATTTCACATAATTTATATACATTTAAGAACTTAAATTATTCAAAAACTAAATAAATATGTGTTCAATGTCAATGAATATTCTAAATTTTTTATTCCAAAATAGGCAATAACTGTTTCCTTTATAGTTAACCCCACATGCTATAATGAAAATTAATACTAAAAAAAAGTAGCCAATGATCCATGTTTCCTCTTACAATCTTTGCTTTATATGAAAAGTTAAATACTATGAATAATTGCATTCATTTGTTCCTTTTATTATGATAAAGAGTTTTCCCATTAGAAGAGAAAATATTCTCAATTAATCCTTTCCCTGTTAAAGTGTGCTCTCCTCTTGACAAGTAAGACAGAGTAAAATAATAAAGTAGGGTGCATCAGGGCACAATGCACCTCAATGGGTTAATTAAATTAACTGGATCGTCTGGTGTTAGAGTAAAATAATAAAGTTGGGCGCAAATGCGCAATGCGACTTAATGGGTTAACAAGTAAAATTGTCTACCTTTACAGCACATCTTCAAAGGGGGGCTGGATTTGAGGAGTAGGCCTACCACTTTTAATTGCATTGGGGGGGGGGGGCAATTAAACTATTACAGTAATCTGAAGGCCTGTTTATATGGTCTCCGGGTACTAGGGAAATCCCAGCCACCTTGGCAAGGCAAAATTATATTCATATCCTATTATAGCAACTGCCATGCAAGTGTTTGCATGGAAAGTTTTGAACTTGTCTTGCCTAGTGGGATGATCCAGGTAGTAGGGTCACTCCGTCAGGGGGTACAACATCTCTATTACTCAAGATTAATTATATAAACGTTTGCCTGAGGCTATGTAAAATTGGTAGGCATTCCAATATATAGATCAAATAGACTCAGGTTTTCCCCAATCAGGTGAACAAATTAACATAGTTGTAAGATTCTGCATCTGATTCATTGTATGAATAATGTAGTTCAACAGGAATGATTGGCAATCTAGAAAAGCAAAATAAAAAATAAAATAAATAAACAGATTAGATTATTAAACATGTACAGTGACTTGGCATGTCTGAGAAATTGACCTTTGAGAGCCAAAAAAGGTTGTAATTGCACTGTGAATAACCAATGCACTATTAATCTAGGGAGTAGGGGAATCACTATAAAGTATAATTTGACCAATCCCCCACCATTGGGTCAACATATAAGTTAAATAAAGTCTATATGAGTACTTTAAAGTACTGTGGCTCCATGTCCATGACTCCATCAGTCCATGTTAAATATTGATGTTCATTTTCGTATCTGAATGCTGTTTATGCAATGTTTAAATTAACGACAACGCTTTGATACAAGTATACAACATTGCACTTGACAAAAATATAATGATAATTTGATATATATGAGCTAGAGAAAAAAAACTCACATATAAAGTTGCCAAGTTCCAGCTGGAGTTCAGGTCTACAGAATCGAATCTTCAGATTGCCAGAAATTCTCACTCCTTCGGGTGTTTTTCTCATTTTCGACGTTAAAAATGGTACTCGTTCAATTCCCTTTTGCTAAGAAGACGCAGTGTGCCATTTATTTGCAAAATTCGTGCAGAAAATGAAGATTAATCGGTTACTGCGCTTAAAATCGCCGTTTTACTGCCAAAATTTTGCATTTCCCTATCTTTTTCCTGATAAAAAATGTGCATGACACTTGCCAGAGGGTCGCGCATGCGCATTAAAAAAGTGGGGACATGATTTGCCTCGAGTTCCGCCTCTGTATATCCTTACTCTGTGCCCCTGAGCCCCCGATCCTAGCGCCCGCGGGCTCTTCTGTTCGCAATACTTTATATAAGTCTCAATAACTATCTGTGATGTCAATAATGTCTAAAATTATCTACACAGATGTCCAATTAGCTTCTTAAAGGTATTACTTGTACTTACATAATTAATTCACAACAGGCTGTGCGTCTTAGATTGGCAATGATCCAGAGTTCATTGCCAATTCACCTAAGTGCAAAGTATGGATTGTAAAATAACACAATTGTAAATATTTTACAATCCATGGTGCAAAGTGTGAAAACAATCCGAGATGCACCTTAAATCCCATATTACCCTAAATGCCCTTCTAAAGCAGATGGTCCGTCTGCGGCATTTTACTCATATTTTACCCTTTCAGGGCCCGTTTGTTCAAAAGGAGATTAACTGAACATACAATTAGCGTTTATCGCCTTTTGAACAACCGGTCCCAGGACCCTAAAAATTACATCTGTAATTAATGAAATAACGGACCGTGTTATGGGAACAAAGCCTTACTTGTCTGTAAACAGGATATCGTCGAGGGCGATTCAGATGTTCCAGACGAAGTAACAGGACGTTCATCAACAGCAATTTCACCCATACGAGTACCCTGTCAAGGTGAAAGATTGTTTATTAATGAAGTTTAATATGTTGAAATAAGTGGCATCCAGACCGCAGTTTGAAAAAAAGAGACAACAACAGAAAACAAAAACACACAGCAGACGGATTTTCGTAGGATATATTATGGGTTTTACCTAGAGGAACAGGCGGACCTCCAGATTGCAGAGGGAGTGACGCGGCTCTGTGCATGTTGTTCAGCGACATATAAGTCCTGATGGCCTAAGGACCACCATTGGTATACTGAGACAGAATGGGTACTCAAGAGGCAGTCTCTGTAAGAACCTCATGACCTCTTTGGATCAACAAATAGATTTCTCTCAAACTTTGTAGTTGAGATTGCCTTTATAAGGGTTGTTTCAAAATGCATTTTGTTTTCAGTCTAATTGCATTTTGGCAAAGTTCCAGGGG